TTTTTTCCGTTTTTGCATTTTAATCGTGTGCTGGAATATAATGCATAAGCCGCACTTGCATCAGAGCATCGTGTTGTGTAAAGTTTGAAAATATGACCTCCCCTCCAAATTTCTCCTGTATGTCCACTTTCTCAACGTATTTTCAGTGAAATTCATCTTCAACTACGACCCTTCCGTTGTGTTTTTCAGAACGGGCGCTGCCTTGTTTGTAAGGTTCACCTAGAGGGGAAATTATATTTCTTTATTCGAGGTTCACTTCCCCTCTTGTTCATACAACAAAGGTGCTGCATGTGATCTCTTAGAATTCCCCCTACACATGGCCTTTATACTTTCCTTGTCGAGTGTTCAATTGCTTACTTCTAATTACATAAGTAATTAAACGTTCCGTGGTCACAGCAAGAACAGCATTGAACTTTTCGTAGTGTTTACTTCGAGTTTCAGTTATTTAGTTGTCTACACTTTTTTCCTTTTCATTCTGCGTTGTGCTTCTGCTAATTGAGTTCGTTGTTAAGCCAAGTGAGGGACCCTTGGGGGTGTCCGGGATGGAGAAGGGTATTTCACGGTATTTCATTATGAACACAGAACGGTTGGTGTTGATGCTTCTAGGTAGACCTAATGATGTTTTCATTGTTCCAGAAATAACGTTCACTAGAGACCCTGAAATGGGGAAGTTCGGGTGGGATACGAATGCGTTGGTGTTGTAGCGGTTGGTTGGAAAAGGGCTGTACGGAGACCCTCCTTACGGGTGAAAGTTGGGGGGGGGGCTATCAAACTGACACTGCCATCCATTCCAATGGTTTACCCTGCCGCAGAGAGTCAGTCTTCTAGTGGTCTTTAGCAGGCCTAATTAATCAACGCCTACAGTCGTTATCACTGAAGTCATTCGGGGCGTGTCGGCGCGGAACGGGTTTGGCGCGATGCCAGCTCCTTTCCCACCACTCATTGAGCGCCCGAAGCAAGACCAGAGGGAACAGGTGAAACGCAGGGGGGATCGTACTTCCCGCTTGGGTGGGATGGTCGTATTTGGTCGTTGTTGGGAGAGGGGGGAGGGGTCGTATGTGGCTTTGAGAGGAATTTTCCGCGTTGGGAAAAAATTTTCCCGGTTGTTGACTTTGAAAAATGGGGGAAATTGGTAGGTAGGTGTTGGGAAGGACTGGGTCCGTACCGAGACCCTCATTCAGGTGGGGGGGGGGTGGTACTGACACCTTCCTTCAAGGGGGGGAGAGCCGTACCTGCACCACCATTTCACACATCACGATGCTGCATCCTGACTGGGAAAGACTGGTGCGCCGTCGGAGACCATGCTGTCACGCTGACACCCCGACTGACTACAGTGATAACAACTGTACCTCGATCAATGTACATGACCATTCGAAGGAGCGAAAGTGGAAGTATCCATGTGAATTATTCTTAATGAAGAAATTACAGTTTAATTTCGGAACTATCGTGGACAACGAATGAGTGGTACTACACAAGGAAAAGATTGTCGGAGTGAACCGGGATGTCCCTGATTCGTCTACGTCGACGTAGCTTTTTCAAATCATTTTCATCATTTTATCCAGGTAATATCTTGTTCCTATCTTGTTTCTGTTCATATCTTTGTCGTGCTTGTTTTTTGTAGGTCTTTTGCGAACATATTTGGTAGGTGGCGTAACGGATAGCGCACTCGCCCGAAAAGCGTAAGGTGCGGGTTCGAGTCTCGCCTAGGGTGAAGGCTTCTGCCCATAGCCAAGCCTTGTGATATTCTTGCGGCGCAAAACAACAGTTATGCAATAAACGTCCGGTTTTTTTCAGATGGTGATACTGGCTGAGACGAAGCAGTTGCAAAGGCTACTGTAGCATGGGAGCTGGGGATTTAACCCCGCATAAACCAACTAAGCTTTTCGGAGCTTTGGAGATAGTCAGGACTGGGCATCAATGGGGAAAGTCTTATCAGAAGGGAGTACTTCTGATGAGACTTTCCCAATGATGCTGAAGGGTCGCTGAGTGGATGGGTCGTATTTGGTCGATGATAGGTGGTATGTGGCCGTGATGAAAACCCCCGAGATGTAACAGAAGGAGCGGCGTCTGGATTCCCCCTTCTCTTCTTCTGCCTCGACAGCATTTTTTAGGAGGGGATGAGGGGGGGGGGAATTTGGAAAGATGAAAGTTTTTGGAAGTTTTAAAATTACGGAGGTGGTAGGTGGGATGAGGTAGGGGGTCGCAGCACAACCGGACTTTGGGGGCAGGGGAAGGGTTGTACCGACACCGCCCCTTTTTTGCCCGAGAAAGTCGATCCACCTTTTGGCGGCGGCGCTATTTGACGCTCTGTAAAGCTAACCGTGAACAGACGGATAAACTTCTTCCAAACTCAACCCTAGGACTGAGCCATACGAGACTCCACAGAGGCGACCAGAGCGGACGTACTTAGCATCCGGTGGGCCCATCACAACTTTAGCTCGGCATGAGCATCAGTCTAGCGCCAAATGGTGCTAGTGGCACAGAATTTGAACTCCATGCTCCAATTAGCATTCACGAACAGCATATAATTGAGGATTTATCAGCGATATAGTGGAAATTGTGCCCATATATTAGCGCCAAATGAGACCATATGCTTGATAAGAGCACTGAACAGAGTCTCGTTCGCTGCGGATGATGGGGCATGTCAGCGCGGCTGCGTTTGACGCTGCGCCAGTTCATTCTCCATCAGTTGCTGACGAGGGCAAGTGACAATAACTGGAGGAAAACGATTTATACGAACGATATGATGCAGTTCTATAGCTTGCCGAAAAAAAAGAAAAAACGGGTGGGCGCCGTGCCAAACGAAGCCGTGTTGACACACTCCACCATCCGCAGCGGACAAGACTGTAACCGCTATAATCAAAGTTAGTGAATAGAACCTTTTTGATATTTTGGGGAGTAATTGAAATAATGGGGCGGAGGTGGTGTAGTGACAAGTGGCGCGCTTACCACTCGCGCGGCGCCGGGTTCAAATCCCGGGTCGACTCCCGCCCAGGCCAACCAAGCCTTCTACCCTCCGGGGACGGTAAATTGGTACCAGATTCGTCTAGGATAAAACACTGACTTGTACATCGGCTGGCCACCGCAAGTCATTGTATAGGCCACATCGCATTCAATAAGCCACTACGATTCTGAATGGAAGTAGAATGCGTGCCGCATCCCACAAAGGGATTGATCAACGGCGAAGACTTTATCCTTTATCCTTTAATTGAAATAATGAACTCTCCTGCATCCCCCCCCAACCGCTAATTTGCTGAATTATTCGGTTGAAGGCTTAAGTGTGCATGTTTTCAGTTTCAGTTGCTCTTATTTTGTTCATCATATGGGGAGAATCGCTCAGCTACTACCATTCGAGATTGTATTGGAATGTCCCTCAACCGAAATTTGACAAAGCAAGATCTCTAGGGATACTTATCGTGGCCGATCCCCAGCTGGTCGGATTCAAGAATGAGAACCACATGGCGGGGCCGTTGACGAGATGGGATTGCGATCGGTAAGACCCTTTTTTTTCTCTCGAACGACAAAGAGGTCAAAAAAAATTATGTGTTCAGGTTCCTTTCAAAAGGATTTTCTCCATGCCGTGTCGGCTACTAACCCCGACTTGATCATTTTTCTTGGCGATCTATTCGATGAAGGTGTTGAGGCTAGCGATACAGAGTTTCAATGGACGATTGACAGATTCAAAGCCATCTTCGACACAAACATCCCTGTATGAGCCACTTTCTTACGATCTTATTTCTACCTTGGAGGAGAGATGATGTGCTAGCAACTGGCCCGCTTACCCCGTCCACGGTCAAGCGGCCGATTCTCAGACAGAGCAACTTTGGGCAGTTCCCAGTGGGGAGGTTTGTTTGCTCGCTTGAGGGAGGAAGGGTCTTATTCGGTCTGAGAATTATTTTTTTTTGATAGTTGATTTTTCCTGTCCCACGTCCTCCCCCCCCCCGGCTACTTCTTGCTGGGGCTGCCAAAGTTCTGCAACTTCTATTTCGATCGCTATTATAGTAGTCGTAGCGACCTTCCTTCCCCTCTGCCTCAGGCTTGACAAAACTCCGGGGTGCAGCTGGAAATTTTATGAAACATTTGAAAAAAACGGCAGAAAATTCGGGGAAACCTGGTGAGATGCCGGAGGAGGAATTTTGCTGGATCGTGTTTTCCAAAAACAAAAAATTGCCACAGTGGCAAAAAGTGCCCTGTTCCCAGATCGGCTCCGGCCCAGTCCATTCGAACTTTCTACCCTCCAATGGCGGTGGTACCACGCTCGTCTGGGAGCGTGAAAATATTGACCTGCAGTGTATGTCCGAAATGCCACTCCTCTTCTGAATGAAAGCCGAATGCTCTCATCCCAAACAATTCTGGGCGCAGTTCGGCTCAGTGTGGGCACCGGAGCACCAAGTAGTGCTTACCAAAGCTTGTAGTGACCATCTCGTGAGAACCTTAAATTCTTGAAACTAAACAGGCTAACTTGTACCACTTCGCAGCTTCAGCAGAGTTTACAGGTCTCACTCAGGAGGAATCTGAGGAGTTAACGAACCAACAGGTGCAAAATGCCTTCCCCTCCTCCCCTGTCTAAGCTGAATAGTGTCCAAGTTTGACCGAAAATAATGGTTTTGTTTTTTTGTCGCTTATATTTATTTTACTTTCGCTTTGACTGCTTGTTTCAGACGATCTACATCAGTGGTGATAATGACGTCGGTGGTGAGATAGAACCGGTACAAAGCCTTCTGACAGCAAGGTTTAGGAAAATGTTCACGAACACATTTCCATCATCGAATGACATCTTCAAGTCTCTTGTCACTTATTGAAGTGAGTATTGAATCCAGGTTCTGTATGGCAGCAAAGGAGGCATTGTACGCTCGGATGGAGTCAAAAATGCATGGCCCATCCTAGAAAACTTAAAGACACAGTCCGCGATTACCTGATATGTAGATTGACTTCCCGGTGCAATGCGGCACAGTCTGCCATTTGAGAAGGTACACTTTCGATGCTCGGAAGTGCTTTGTGGTAATTTCCATGGCACGTTGTACGTTAGGGATCCCCAGGGGGAGGGTCTTATTTGGTCGCTGGAGAGGGAGGTCGTATGTAATTTAATTTAAAGTGTTTGCGAGGAATGGTACTATTGGTTCTTCTCGTTTCCCCGTTCCAAGCACTCGACCGCCCCCACTCCTAGTGGCATTTTTTTGGAAGAAATAGAGGAGTTCAAAAAAAAACTCCGGAAAAGTGGTAGGAATTTAGGATGTTGTAGATTGGATGGGGGATGGGCAGCCGGAAGGAGTCGTAGCACAAGAGGAAATATCGATGAGAGCCGTGTTTTGCAGAAATGTCCGCTAATGGCAGAACGGGCCTGCCCAAATAAAGCCAGCGGCTTGGCACGTTTATCGGGCCCCGCCCCAAAGGTCGATCCCCACCTTCCTCACTCCATTTTACAGTCACTATTGTACCATTCGGTCACACTCGTCTGTGTATTCTCTCGCCTTCTCGTCATCTGCTTCTCTTTTGCACGCTCAGTGTTCCATCGCCTTGTGCTCGTATAACGCCCCAACAGGGGTCTTAATTAGAGCTTTTTCCACGATTTCCGTCTCTTCCAGTTGTTTTTAAGTTGCGGCACCACACATTCGTATTAAAAAGTCCCACAACGATTTTTTATCGTGGAGGGGTGCCCTTCTGGAATTTTTTGCTAGTGATGAAGGCCTGGCCTCACAAAATTACTCCTTAATCATAATTTCATCAGTTTTTCCCATTTTCTATCTCATATTTTGATTATAAAACTCATTTTCAGGTTAATTTGATGAATTCCGAAGTGACGAACATCAGAGAGTTCTCTGATCCGCCGGAGCTGAAAGTGGTCTTGAGTCATGTGCCTTTCGCAGTTATGTCCTACGATTACTCTGGAAAAATGGTCCGTTTCTGCTGTTAGCATCGTAGTTGTTAATCTAATCGTATTTGGATAGTGGTAAATCTTAGAGGCATTTGACACGATACTTTGGAACTCGGTTCTGAAATGCTAGCAGAGTGCTAAATAGTGGCAAAATGGCAAAAAAACGAAGTGAAAGGTCAAAAACCTGCGAAGAAAAGCCTTCGTTTTCATGACTAAGAAAGTAATTTCGGACGAGTTTCCCGTAGGCATCGTTGCCAATAGCCGCTAC